GTTGGGGGGTCTGGGGGTCCTCCCCCAGAAAATGTTGAATGAAATAGATGCCATTTACTGCATTCTGGTGTATTTTATCAGGTTGCTTAACATACTTTTACTTAAATTAACATTTGATTTAATAATTATTTCAGAGACAGATTCTTTATTAAACTAGTTCTATGATCCTGTTTTAAACTCACTGCTTTAGCTGAGGTATGGTTAATTAAAGTGACACAATTTATCATATCCAACGACTATGGGGTGGTTTTTACGTTTTTATTGTTTATCGTTTGATTTATTTTTAATTGTAACATGTCATTGTGCCAAACAATGATGACCCTCAAATGCATGTTTAAAACTAACATTAATAATTTTACCCAATGAACAGGTGCAATARTGATGACCACCAACAGTGAATTTAGAGGGGTGTTTCCCTTTTTCTGATTTAGTGCCAGTGATTTAGCAGCCTTAAGAACATAAAATGACACGGTGTTATGGTGACAAAAAAAAAAAAAAACCTTTGCCACCATAAGTCCAAAAGTTGACACCATAAGTCAGATTACAGGCATATGTTCTCTATATAAAGAAAACCATCACTTCCTTGTTATTACTCTTCTTCAGTGATAGAGCTTGGTGATATTTTAAACACTGCCACCAACTGTTCAGGAGGATTATTACACCCCTAACGGTTGTTTTACTGTGGAAGGTGTGTGTACAARAGGGTGGCCAATGGGGTGGCCAAAGATTTGTCTGTGGTGGCCATGACCACCCCTGACCTCCCCCTGGCTCCAACCCTGCCTCTATGTAATTTTAAAGAATAACTGGTCAGGTTTGAGCCTTGCTTGCAAAGTCTTTGAAGGCTGACCTTGCAGGGTGCAGCAGGACACGGTGGAACAACTTGAACTCGGAGCAGCATGTCAGGTATGGCGGTAAGCCTCGAGAGAGAACACACCAGTCCACTCTGCACCTATACAGCCGAGCAAATATGTATTTCCTGTCATCGTCTTCCACAGTCTTTGTCAGACACTGGGATCAAAGATATGGCAAACATTAAAAAAACACGCGCTCACAGCTGCAAAGCCAAAAAGAAGGTACACAGAAATTCAAAGCGCTTCACCGACCAGCATGAATGATGGTTCTCCATGTGCGTCTTTCAGATGAGAGGGGTAGGAGATGTCTGCAGGCTGATTTAGAGCCTCAATCTCGCACAAGAGAGGTCACTTTTCTCTCAACCGTATGACTTACGAGGGCACGGCTGCTATTTTCATTTCCATTTCAGTTTGAGGAATGGTGGCAGAAGTTTCACCCAATATTTTTTGTAAAAGCCGTTGAACAAGCTCATATTAGGGTAATGCTCCTTTAAGTGCAAAATGGGCTATTAATATGTGAATAATAATGATATTTTGATATTTCCTCACATGCTCAAATTTTAGATTGAGTGAAAATTTGCCAACACTCAGTTACTCGTGTTAAAGTTTGATTATGGCACCTAAAGTGTGACCGTCACTTCAATAGACATGTCCTTCTCTTTGTTAATTTTTTATCCACTTTTCAACCTTTGTAAACATCTTTATCCAGCAGGTTGTTCTAAACATGTAAAAGGCAAAGACATGGGAAAATAAAACCTTCAGAAATTTCAGG